TGTGTGTATGCATTAAATATGTTTACTGTGCACATAATTCCATCAATGTGCTGTTTCTGCAAAAGAATATTTGTCCTGGCTGTTTGTCCTTTCTCTCTGTCTGCCTCAGTGATGGAAGAGAGTCTCAAACCACAGTGCGGTAGACGTGTGTAAGTGTGTGCGGTGAGTGTGTGAGTGCTCTGCTCACACAGTAGAGCGTCTAAAAATAGCTCACATGCGCTCTGTTTGTCCCCTTACCCTCCAGCTCTTGGTTTATGAGTCACACACACACACACACACACACACACACACACACACACACACACACACACACACACACACATGTTTGTTTTTGTGAAAAGTGGGGACATTACATAGGTTTCCATTCATTTTATGCAGCCCAAACCGTATATTGTATTGCCCTCACCCCACCCCACCCCTAAACCCTACCATCACAGGAGACTGTGTGCAGCTTTACTCCCTGATTAAACTCATCCTGTAGGATTTATAAGCATTTTGAGAAATGAGGACGTCACCAGTGTCCTCATATTTCACCTCCTTTTTGTAATACCTGTGTCATACCCATGTCATTATACAGATTTGTGTCCTGATATGTCACAAAAACACGTACACACACACACACACAGTAGGTTTGGATAGACAGATGATTGACTACTCACAAGTCATCACATGCATCACGTCTATGCAAAAGCACACATGTAATTGGTTTTTTATCATGTCAGGGACTTTCCGTTTCACTTCTGTTTTATACTGAGATAATGATATTTTGTATCCCTTGGACATTTCTGTTGCTCAACCTCTTTTGCATTTTCATTAGAATGTTATTTATTATGTTTATTAAGTCGTTTTCCGCAGAGCCTGAATATTTGGCCTTCACAACACATGAAAAACAGAGACGCACACACATCACACATGCACATCCCATAATGCTGCGGCCACATTTAGATTAGGTTTCACTTCAGGATACCTTAGAGACATGAAAACTGTTGTGTTGCATAATACACATCGTTTTACATGAGCACACACACACACACACACACACACACACACACACACACACACGAGTGCACAAACTCAGGCAGCCAGACATGGAAACTTTGAGTGTGCTGGCCTAGTATTTATATAAATAGAAACCATGCATAGAGAATATGACATGATCAATGGCAGTTTATCTGAATTCTCTCAAGTAATTTGCTTGCACAGTAAAAACACATCTAAAAGTGTGTCGTTTTGCTAACTGTATAGTATGTATGATATGTAATTAACCAACTGACATAGTAAAACAGCATTAATACTGTATGCCATTTAAATGTTTTAAAATGTTCGTCATGCTCAGTAACACTGCACTGAAGTCATTAGAATACTTTGTTGTTTTATTTTTAATGTGATTTCTTTTACAGCAAAGCAAACACATTAAACCAATACTGTATTTTGTTTAAAGTGCCCAAGAAATCAAAAATTTGATTTTGTTAGCTCGTATTTGTGCGGTGAACAAATCATCCTTGCATGTCATTCATTCATTAAATTTCTTTTCAGTTTAGTCCCTTTATTAATCTGGGGTCACCACAGCGGAATGAACCGCCAACTTTTCCAGCATATGTTTTACACAGCGGAAGCCCTTCCAACTGACCCAGCCGAGGCTTGAATCAGCGACAGACCTACCTACTGCGCCACCGCATCGCCCTCCTTGCACGTCATTTAAAAGAAAAAAGTTTGCTCTTATAATCTAAAAACTAAAACAGAAATGGTGAGGAGGATGTTTCTGTTAGGTTAATATAACTCTCCTAAAACCCTTTTCCTGCTCTTTCTGAATTAAATTTCTACTTTACTACATTCAATCAGCCTGCAGAAGAAAAAACAAGCCACACCCACTGTTTTCTCATCTAATAATTCACATCTCTAGGTGCTGTGTCACAATAAAAAAAAAAAATAAAAAAAAAACAAGTCACAGCGTCCGGTTATCATAAATAAGCAGGCTGATTTTTACGTCATTTTTGTTTACATTCAATCAGACTTCAGCCAATAATATGGTCGTATTTAACTGAAATGATTAACAGTATCCAGGGGCCTCATGTATCAACGCTGCGTACGCACAAAAACTTTGCGTACGCCAGGTTTCACGCTCAGAATCGCTCACGTTTGGATTTACTAACAATGAACTGAACGTGGGAATGTGCGCAGCTTCACGGCAGCTTTCTGGCAGGCGTACGCACATTTTTTGTGCGTGTCTGTTTTATTTCCATTGGCGACTCCTAGAGGCAGTTGTGTTAAATTGCTCTCTACAAAGTGTCTGAGCCTTGCAATGGCAGCTGTATGAGACGGGTTCAGCAGGTATATAAGGTTTCCATACCATACATTTGACCAGCTAAACATTAAAGCACAATTTGCAGCGGTCGCCTGTTTTCCCAATGTAATCTAAGCAATCTACTGCACGCACATTGCTATAAAGACACTATCTGAAGATGAATTTGCAATCGTGAATCAGAAACACTTCCATTCAATAAATGTGCAAATAAAATATGATGCTTATTGATATGAACTTATTGATGATTCCTACTTGTCTTTCTCGTGATAAATAGTTGGCAAAATCTGATATGTAGCGGGGGAAAAAACAAAAATGAGTTTATCAGAGGCTGGATTCGAGCCGAGTTCATGCTCTAACGTATCAATTCATGATCACATTCGTCTTACGAGTAGCGCCACTGAGACTGTTAAGTGTACTGCAACAGTTTACAGATATAAACCACACTATTTCTTTTGTTGATGCACTCTGTGCGATGTTCAGACCCAACTGTGTTGACCGCATCAGCTAAACTCTCCCACTCTATTTTTTTTCTTTTGTTGTTAATTCCGGAGAACAAACTTGCAAATAACACCGCTTTTCTCCGGTCTACCTCCGAAAGCAGCAACTCCAATTCACATTCTGTTCAAAGTTTCTCTTTTTGCTTGCTTTTGCCATTGCTTTTTCATTGGGTTTTGCCATTAGCATAGTCATTAGCATATTCATACGGGGGAGGAGGCAGGGAGGGGTTTTGTGCTCGTGCATGTTGCGCTCAGTTTCACGTTCATTCGGATGTACAAAAGAATATGCGTGAGATTCGGCGTACGCAGTGTTTCATACATCTGAACTTTTTTCTGCGTACGCACATTTACAGCTTTGTGCGTACGCAATGTTTTAGTAAGATTTCCACGCAAGTCTTCGTACATGAGGCCCCATTTCTCCAAAAACAATTACATTAGTTACCATTTATTGGTTAATTACATTAGTAATTTATTTCAATGCCTGATAATTATACATTACCTACAGTACTTACTTTTTGAACTGGAAGAACCCCCAGCCACCCTCGCATCTACAGTGGCTGAAAGATGTTTTGCATTTTGTGAAACTACAGTAGAGAAGATTAGTTACTTCCTTCAGAGACATAACAAAACGCTTGTTAAAACTTGGAAGCTCTTTTTTTCTTACTGTGCATTCACACCGAAAGCAGCGAGAGCGTCAAAGTAGCCGGAAGCTATTAATTTTCAATGGGAGCCAGCAGCGATAGCAGTGTGGTGCATCTTCGCCGGTGTGGACGTCGAGGAGAGTTGAAATCAAGTCAACTTTATAGTAATAAGCTATGACATGGCTCACCAGCAAGCAATGTCCACCGCTTGATAGGAGTCCAGAGAACACAGTGCTGTGAACTTTTTTTTGACCACAGTTGTTCCCAAGGGTTTGATTAATGTGGTTGCCAGATTTTCAATTATACACAATGTTTTCTTACTGGGACATACATTAAAAAAGTTACTGGCGAGTTACTGATGTGCATTAATGTTATATATTGTTTTCTTTAAAAAGCGGGAATCTCACGCAACAAAACAAAACACTATTGCTGCTTCAGGATATTTCAGACATATAAACTCTTACTGAATAAGTGGAGCAAAGCCACATCATGCGCAACGACTTGATCTTCCATTGTTACATAAATTTGATAAAAACATTTTCACACTAAAAAGCATGTTTTTATGCGGGAATGTAAGTGATTTGCTGATATGCTGCAACAACCCCTCTAATACGAGTTTGATGTTGCAAATTTTGACGCTCGCTGGCAGAGCAAGGAAGGCAGACAGCGTTGTATCCAGAGAGGCCAGCACAGTTATGGTAAAACTCCAGACAGCTGAAACTAGACTAATCACCTTTGCTAGCTCTTGACAATTATAATACATCAGTTTGTAATCGTTCATTACTCGAATTACATTCAGATTGCATAAATGTTGCATAAATGTAGACATCTGCCCCACATTTAGTTGTGTGTATTTGGGTTTTATTTTATTTTTTATTATTTATATTTGTATTTATTATATTTAGTATTAATATTTCTACAAGGGTTGTTTGATATGTTGGTAAAATGTAAAAATGTTAAGTAAATAACAAATAAAAAGTAGCTCATTTCAATGCTCACAATCCAAAAATGTAGCATTTCAAAGTAAAACTCCATCAAATGCATACAGAATGTCAACTACAAAGTGTTTTATCACTGATTTCTCACTGTGTCTTTAGTAAATCTGGTCCTTTTATGTTAAAAAATGATCTTCGAATACCACAGAATTTGTAAAATGTCATGTGATGTAGTTCCCTGAAAAACGAATGACATTTCTGACTAAATAATGATGTAAAGAATACTCCATCGCTTGAAAAATATATTGTTTATGCAAAAATAATGCTCCAAAAATGGGCGGCATGGTGGTGCAGTGGGTAACGCTGTTGCCTTACAGCAAGAGGGTCGCTGGTCAGAGTCTTTGTTGGGTCTTGGAAGGGCATCCGCTGTGTAAAAAAATATGCTGGATAAGTTGGTGGTTCATTACGCTGTGGTGACCCCAGATAAATAAAGGGACCAAGCCTAAAAGAAAATGAATGAATACTCCAATTGGTGAAGTAGATGAAGACTGTTGTGGTTGTCACGAATAGTCTTTGTCTTGTATCGAGATGGACTGATTGGTTGTGATATTTTGTTTGACAGAAATTCCGGCCTCTGATTGGTCAGTCATGCGTGGGAGGCCTGTCTGTGGTGGAGTTCATGTGTGACAGACAGCTGGAGTTTTACACAGAAAAGGAGGAGCTCCAGCCGTTTAAGGTGCGTGTACAGAAAGTTATTATTATTTACATTTGTGTGTGTGTGTGTGTGTGTGTGTGTGTGTGTGTGTGTGTGTGTGTGTGTGTGTGTGTGTGTTTTGTTATTGTTGCATTTTTGAAACTTTGTATACTTGGCATTCATTGTATCAAAATTACACTTCATTATTCAAATGAAAAATATTTTGCTAGATTTTTTTGTAAAACTCCATAGAAAAATCATCTCTTGGGCTTTTGGAATTCTGGGATATGTTAGCAACTAACTATGTAATATGTAAATATATATATATATAAGAGTTTAGATGCAAAAACCTCTAAATGCTGTCTGAACTTTTCCTCTAAAATGAGCATTTTTATCAGGCTCCTGTGTGTATGTTCAGTAATGTCATTTTTATTGCAAAGAATAAGTATTTTCCTGATCTTTAAAGTGAAATATCTCAACATAAACAAAGGAGGCTGAGAAAAATAGTTTTTTTTTTTGCATCTGAACTCTTTATATGTTAAAATAAGATTACAAATCATCACTACAATTTATAAAAAAGACTTACTAAACTTACTAAAATGTATGATTGCATTGGCAAAGTTTAGGTTTTAAAATATAATCCATTTATTTATAAATGTATAAATATAAGGGATTATATAAATATAATCTCTTTTCTCATCTCTCTTATTTTGAAATAAAATCATATAGTGGATTATATTTAGCACCACTAGCACCATATTTAATAAACTTCCATGCTCGGTGTCTCTCTCTCTTGCTCGAGGTGTTAGATTTTTGCTGAAGATGTGATTTGTGTCGTTGCTTTCTCAGACCTCCTTATAAACGTGTGAAATATGATGACATTTCCCAGTCATTACTGGTTTAATTAGTCTATGTGTTTGTAGTGTCTGAGCGCTTGTGAGAGAGCCTTTAGGAGTGTATGCCCCAGACAGTCTGTTTAATTGCAAATTACCATTACATCCGATGGCAATGAGAGAAAAAACGTGATAAAACTTATTGAATAATGAGGTTTATATTCGCAAAACGGCTGGAATTCAATGGAAATGTAGCTTTCCAGGGGAAACACTGTGCGAAAACAGCGTCACGATGTAAATGCAGGATTATAGATTTTTGAAATGCAATATTTCTATATAAGTTATAAGAAGAGTAGAGGTGTTTACTGTATATAGACAATTGTCAGTATTTTTACAGGGTTTATTGTGGATGTTCTGTCTAGTAGAGCACAGGGATATTTATACTTGAAATAGCTTGAAAAAAAACATTTGATTAGAAATGTTTCACACTGCTCACAATTTACCTGGGGTTAAAAGCAAATCTTTTGCAGTCATTCATCGATGTTTAAATCTGTATGGTCCTAAAAGGGTTAACATTTGTGTGTGTGTGTGTGTGTGTGTGTGTGTGTGTGTGTGTTTATATATATATATATATATATATATATATATATATATATATATATATATATATATATATATACTCACCGGCCACTTTATTAGGTACACCTTGCTAGCCTGCAGAAATGCCTTAATCCTTTGTGGCATAGAATCAACAAAGTATTATAAATATTCCTCAGAGATTTTAGTTATTATCGACACGGCAGCATCACGGAATTTCTGCAGATTTGTCGGCTGCACATGCATTATACTAATCTCTCATTCCACCACATCCCAACAGTGCTCTATTGGATTGAAACACGGTGACTATGGAGGCAATTTGAGTACAGTGAACTCAATTTAATCTTGTGGGTATGATGTTCACTGCAATAGTTTATTCAGCAAATGTGTTTCCATCTCCAATTATTCACATCAACTCTTTTCACACAAGTCCCAATAGCACCCCTAGTGAACATAAGTATTTTTGTATATATATATATATTGTATGTATATATATGTATATATATATATATATATATATATATATATATATATATATATATATATATATATATATATATATATATATATATATATATATATATATATATATATATATATATATAAATATATATATATATATATATATATATATATATATATATATATATATATATATATATATATATATA